GCAATTGTGCAAGAGAGTAGCCTTTACAAACATGGTAATAGAGGGATTTGAACCCAAAACATTACCAATCGGTATCTACATCACTAACCACTAAGCCAATTCATCAAGTCAATAATTAGTATTTTTTAAATAAGTATTGATTATGCGGAAATGTTGGTTGACTTATTGTCTCGGGTGTTTTACGGGAAGGATTCGGAATGTGCATTCAGTGTACACTTCGATAAAAGTCTGAAACATCAGTGTTAGCTATGAAGTAAAGGCTGAAAAAATCAGTGTAACAAAAATCTCAACACTGAAAATTCAGTGTAGGTACACAAAACTAGGCTGAAAATCAGGAATTTCAGGGAAAAATTCCTGATATCGTAGGGCCTGGTGTAACACTAATCCCCCAAAAAATTACCCCAGCCCATCAGTGTAGACTGAAAATTTCACCCTTCTTATCAGTATAGAAGTGTAAATTACACTGCAAACCTGAGCCCAGTTTGCAGCCTAAGAGGCCAACACTGCTGACATCTCCACCTAATAGGCCCTTGGGGACCAACAGAGGATCTTTACGCAACTTGGCCTTGTTCAGATGGGTCATCGTTTGTTGTAGACTTGCGTCTTGTTTTCTTTCTTTGCGTGTTCAGTTGTTTGTATATGTTTATGAACACTTGAACTGACCTTTTGACCGTTTGTCTCAGAGGCTGGATAGTCATAGCACCCTGAGTTGCTTCCTTTGCTTTGTTGCTGTTGACTGGTCTTGCAACCATTTGTCTCACTCGTTTTGATGCCCCTCACTTAACCTGTGGGGGTGTGTGACGTGTCTCAATCTATGTTTACACAGGTCAATTTGGTGATGTAGTGCACGCATTGGGGCCCCTCTCTTGTTCATTTTGCTGGCTATAGTGGGGTACATCTTAGGGTGTACATTACATTTCTCAACATCCTTGTTATATATCGCTTCTACCTAGTGACCATCATTCCGCTACCAACTCTGACTTGTAATAAGCAGCCCCGCTATATCTCTTTGAGTGTGACCATCATTCACGGGGCACGGCCGTCACAGCTGCAGCTTATCACGCCAGAACTTGAGCTGCTCGTCCACACGGGCAGCGCCGGTGGACCCGAAGGAGGTGAACTTGGTGATGGAGTTGTGCACGCCCAGGAAGGAGTACACGTCGCCCTCAAAGATGGGGTTGATGGCGCGCAGCTCCTCCAGAGATAGCGCACTCAGCTCCACTCCGCGCGCCACCGCTATGGCCACCGCCCGCCCCACCACGTCGTGCGACGTGCGGAACGGCATGCCCTGCCGACCCGTGCAGTTGGCCCATTCGTACGAAGGGGATGGAGGAGGGGGGGTGGTGGGAATGGAGAAGGAAAACGAGCAGTGCAGGTTGAGGAAGTGTGTGGTTCCACTGGTGGACAGAATGAAGGTGTATGCCATGAGCGTGACGGATGGGCAGGAGGTGGAAAAAGCACGAGAGCATTGCACGGACATGTCACATGCAGCGCAGCACTGGCTAGCCGGGCAGCACCCACCCTGTACACGAGGTAGTCACCCACCTTGTACACGAGGTAGTCACCCACCTTGTACACGAGGTAGTCACCCACCTTGTACACGAGGTAGTCTGCCAGCGTGGTGGCGTCCAGGTGGCCGGCAGGGAGTGACTGCTCGATGCGCGGGCGGTTGAACGTCACGTTGGCAGCGAACTCGGCGGTCACCTCGAGCGAGGCGAGCACGGTCTCGACACTATCGAAGAGCGGCTCCTTGTCCTCCTGCAGGTCGCGGTTGTACGCCAGCGGCAGCCCCTTGCACAGCACCAGCACGGTGGTGAGGTCGCCGATGACGCGCGCCGCCTTGCCGCGCACGAGCTCCATGGGGTCGGGGTTCTTCTTCTGCGGCATGATGCTGCTGCCCGTCGACACTCGGTCCGACGGCGTCACGAACCCAAACTCCTCCGATGCCCACAGCACCCACTCCTCCGCCAGGCGCGAGAGGTGCACGGCGATGATGCTGTTGGCCGCCAGCAGCTCGATCAGGAAGTCGCGGTCCGACACCGCGTCCACACTGCCCGCCACGCCCCATGCCACGCCATGCCATGCAGGGGGGACGGGCGGAGAGGCGGGGATGAGGGAGAGGTGATGAGACACTCACAGTGGCGGCTGGCTGAGACACTCACAGTGGCAGCTGGCTGAGACATGGTTCGTGCAAGAAGCACCACACACAACACTGCTCAAAGGGGTGGTACGCACACGTCACCGCACTGCAGTGCATGCTCTACACGCTGTGGTGTCCGCAGCACACACCTGCCAACTGCGTGCACGCGTCTCTGCTGCCATTCACGCCACCCCTCCTTGCGCCGCGTCCTACCTCTGCTGTTGCTCCCCTTGGCCCCTGCCCTCCTCCCTTCCACCCTTCCCCTTCCGAAATCCCCCACCCCCTGTCCCTACCACGCTCCCACCTACCCCTATCTGTCCCTGTCCCACCAGAGGCGCACCTGTTGCGGAGGGGCGCACCTGTTGCGGAGGGGCGCACCTTTGCGGAGGGGCGCACCTGTTTCGGAGGGGCGCACCTGTTGCGGAGAGGCGCACCTTTGCGGAGGGGCGCACCTGTTTCGGAGGGGCGCACCTGTTGCGGAGGGGCGCACCTGTTGCGGAGGGGCGCACCTGTTGCGGAGGGGCGCACCTGTTTCGGAGGGGCGCACCTGTTGCGGAGGGGCGCGGAGAAGCCGAGCGCGGAGGCGGTGAGGTGGCGGTCGATGGGCAGCCCCGTGCCCGCGAGCGCGCAGCTCCCCAGCGGCGAAAAGTTGAGGCGCTCCCCGCAGTCCCTCAGACGCCCCGCGTCCCTCTCCAGCTGCGCGAGCACCCAAGCGCCATGGAAAGAAGATCACAGAGGCGGGAGAGCAGAGGGAGAGGAAGGGGAGCGGTTGAGGAGGGAGCATGAGGCGATGCAGTGGTGCATGGCAGGCCTCGTGCAGCGCCCATCCAAGGTGAGTGCCACACTTGAATCCGTTCCGCCGCTCACCACCTCCGTGCTCACTCACCACAAAGTTGCGCGACGCACCATTTCGACGTACGCGAGCAGCACGTGCGCGAGGAGCAGCGGCTGCGCGCGCTGCAGGTGGGTGTAGCCGGGCACCACCAGCCCCGCGTTGCCGTCCGCCAGCCGCACCAGCGCCGCCTGCAGGCGCGCGATGCGGTCGAGCAGCTGCGCGATGGCGTCGCGGCACCACAGGCGCACGTCCGTGCAGACCTGGTCGTTGCGGCTGCGCGCCGTGTGCAGCTTCTTGGCCGGCTCGCCCACGAGGTCTGTGAGCGCCGCCTCGATGTTCATGTGCACGTCCTCGCGGTCCGCGCGCCACTCGAACGTGCCCGCCTCGATGCGCCGCTCGATCTCCTCCAGCCCGCCCACGATCGCGTCACGCTCCGCCACCGTCATCAGCCCCTGCGGCAGGGCGGGGCGGGGCGCGGGGTGAAAGGTGTGCGAAGAGCGAAGGGGGAAGCGGGTTGGAGAGAGAGAGTTGAGCGACAAAGCACGTGACTCAGGTGGCGGAATGACGGTGGGCGGAACGAGGGATGCGCGGACGGCAAGGGAGGCGGAAGGGAACTGGTAAGCTGAGGGCAGAATGTGGCGCCGAGCAGGTGGTGCAGGAGGAGCGCAGCGCGAGGAGGCGGCAAAGGGGTGGCAGCGAGAGGAGGAGGCGGCGATGGTGGAGGAGGCGGTGATGGTGGAGGAGGGTCACGGGTGAGAGCGGCAGCATTGCTAAGTCCACGGGGATCTGGACGCGTCGCTACCATGTTACGCCGTTCTTGTAAAATCGCACATAACATTAGATCATTCAGCGGGTGGCTCGCAATCGCTCAATGCCATCTCTTACGACACGTGCAAACACCTGCGGGGCGGGCTCACCTGCTGCGCGAGCATGGCGGCGTGCGCCTTGCTGCCCTGGATGTCGAAGCGGTACAGCTTCTGGTCGTACGACACTGACTGCCCGAATCGCTCCACGGCCGGCGTCACCGCCTCCTCGAACCGCCCGCCCCACAGCTTCTGCTCCTTCCCTTCCGCCGGCGCTGCCGCTCCCGCGCCGGCTGCGGAGGGCGGGTTGGAGGCGGACATCTGGGGGGAGGCGCGCGAGGGGGATGCCGTGAATGGGGGGCCCACGCGGAGAACGGCAAGGCGCGGCGTGAGTTGGTGCGCGGAGGAGAGTGGCGCTGCGGGCCGGGCGCGCGCGGCAGAGAATGCGGAGGAGCAAGGGGAGGCCCCGGCGGCGTGAGAGATTGCGAGGGACATCGCAGACGGAGGAGAGGCGTTGAGAGGCGAAGAGTGCGCGGCGATCAGATATCCGTCTCTATGTGGGCTGCGCAGTGCAGGTTATGCAGCTGGCAAGCAAGGTTGAGAGAGAATCTGGGGAGCAAACAGGCACTGAACAGAAAGACATTCCCGGCGTCGCTCTGGTCCGGAAAAACAAGGGGCGTATCGTTGCTGACATGGCCGTACCAGACAGAGCTGGAGTTCCCATTGCCAGCGTGTCGAGGCACACTGGACGAAGTGGGAAACTCGCTGGGCGGCGCTGAAAGTGGGCAATTGGTGCCACGTGGTCAATTCGAGAAAGAGAAGCCAATGGTGGAGGCGCCGCAGTGCGTTTACTGCTTGTAATTGGTCCGAGAAACTAGCTAGAAAGTGCACGAGATCCGCGCTTCAGTACATCCGTGTCCATGTTTCTCAATCTTCGTATAGTCTGTCAAAGTCACCACGGACTTAGAGAATTGTCCAAACCTCAACTTGAACATCATCTAATTATACAACAGGCAAAAGTGGAATCCATATTTCCAAGATTGATTCTGTAGGTTCAAAGTCTATTGCCAACCCAAAAGAGGGGACAACCAGAGTTTGATGGTCACAAATAACATTGTACCGCACGAGGCGAGTGCATGGTGTTGCAGCAACTCATGGGCTGATGTGCCAGAAGAAGACCCTGCGTATCTTGTTGCGAGCCTCAATCTCCAGACCTGATGGTTCATTGTTGCGACAGCAGCTCGCACTGGAAAAGCGTGGGGAGGAGAAGGGATGGGTGGTGACAGGTGACAGATTGAGTAAAGAAAGGTGGGAGAATGAATGCTGGCTAAAGAGAGAGCGCAGGGCAAAGGTGGGAGCCAAGGATGGGAAAAGACAGGGATGGGAGATGAGAAGGATGGGAGATGAGAGGGATGGGAGATGAGAAGGATGGGAGATGAGAGGGATGGGAGATGAGATGGATGGGAGATGAGAGGGATGACAAGGATGGGAAACGGCATACATGTCCGGTGGCACATGAGAGGGAAGAGGGCATGGGAACAGTGATTGGGGTGCAACAGCGGCAGTGAGAGCAGCAGACCCCACCCCCCACCTTTCACACACGTACCTGGCCTTTATCGAAGTCACAGACGCGGCCTGCTCTGAGCGACTGGGCGTGGTCGCGCAGGAAGGTGTCCCGCACCCACCACTCGGGGCCCTGCCTCCACCACGCAGGGGGGGGCATGGTATGGCCGGGGGAATGATTCTTGGGTCAGGATAGCAGTGTGGGCTAGATGGTGGAGGGGGCCACTGGAAGGGCGGTGAGGCGGATGGAGGTATAAAAAAGGCAACCATTCTTCACCCACCCACCCTAGCAGCTGTCCCTCGTGCGTACCCTCCTTGCAGCACCTTATTCGGTTGGAGGGCGCACCTGGTCGTCATTGAAGAGCTCGTGGCACCAGGAGGAGGAGGGCGCGGAGAAGAGGTCCTGCACGTGGTTGTACACCGCATCCTCCGTGCGCACGTCCACCTCCCCGCCCTCGCCCCCCCCCGCCCGCGCCTCAAACGCCCCCAGCGCCTCCACCTGGCGCACCGGGATTGGCACAGACATGAGATGGTGAGGCGTGCGCTTTGCAGGTGAGGGGTGTGCCCAGTGGTGGTGCACGAGGGGTGTGCCCAGTGGTGGTGCACGAGGGGTGTGCCCAGTGGTGGTGCACGAGGGGTGTGCCCAGTGGTGGTGCACGAGGGGTGTGCCCAGTGGTGGTGCACGAGGGGTGTGCCCAGTGGTGGTGCACGAGGGGTGTGCCCAGTGGTGGTGCACGAGGGGTGTGCCCAGTGGTGGTGCACGAGGGGTGTGCCCAGTGGTGGTGCACGAGGGGTGTGCCCAGTGGTGGTGCACGAGGGGTGTGCCCAGTGGTGGTGCACGAGGGTGATGGTGGGCGATGGAGGGCCGCCACTCTATATGTGCTGGCATGTGCTGGCATGTGCTGGCATGTGCTGGCATGTGCTGGCATGTGCGCTGCATGTGCGCTGCATGTAAGAGTGAACGGGGATGGCAGTTGATGGACAAGGCGAGTGTGCAGTGCACTCCAGTCGTCACGGCTCCCATGCGCCCACCTCCCTTCATCCCTGGCCCACTATGCCATCCCACCGTCCCCCATGTGCATGCGCCGTGCCGCCCACCACATCGGTGGGCGGCAATCATGTGGGTGGGCGGCAGTCACAAGGGAGGGCGCAGAGTGTGGCTGACCTTGCGGGGGTCGACGATGGGTTTGCGGTAGCCGGTCTCGCCGAGGCAGAGGTTGGCGTCGGGGAAGGCGGAGGTGTCGTGGCAGACGGGCCACGGCCAGCGGTACACCATGCGCTCCACCCAGAACTTGCCCCCGCCCTGCTCGCCCGCTCCAAAGTCCAGTGAGCACTTGGCGCTGGACCACCACAGCGATCCCACCGTCACCACCGCTGCCGCCCCGTGTGTGCGCAGGAAGGTGGGCAGGGCGGCGGGCTGAGAGCCGGTGAAGAGGAACTCGTTGAGCTCCGCGGGCACCACCCAGTGTGCCGTGTACCCCGCCCCCCATGCACAGTCCTGCGCCGCCAACCCCTGCCATGCCCGGTTGCACACAGCGGGTAGCGGAGGAGGAACACTCAGATGGGAGGGTTGCCGGGATTGACAAGACAAGGCAGTGGAGTGGAACAAGGGAGGCAGATGTGAGTTCACCTCGTGGCGGGATGCGCGTGCACCGCTCACCTTGCCCTGGCGGTGCAGCTCTCACATTGCCCTGGCGGTGCAGCTCTCACCTTGCCCTGGCGTGCAGCGCTCACCTTGCCCTGGCGGTGCAGCTGGTGGTCGCGGCTGCCATGGAACGGCACCACCACCACCTCGCCTCGCTCCACCTGCCCCGCCACCTGCTCCGCCATGCCGCCCTCCTGCCACGCCCCGTTGTCATACAGGACAACCCGTGCCGCCCCGGAGAGGCGGTAGAACTCGAGGAACTCGTGCAGGGAGTGCAGCGGCACGGGGTGGGCGGGGTCGGGCGGCAGCGCGCACACGAGCACCTCCACGGGCAGGTCAGTGGTGGGCGGGTCCAGCGCCTCGTGCTCACTGGGGCGCTCCCTGATGGGGGCGAGCGAAAGGGGGGGGCAGAGGAGCGCATGGACGAGGGGAGAGAGCTAAGGGGATATGCAAGGTGACAAGTGAACCATCACAGCCTTGCATGCCCGCATTGGCACACACATGTGTTACGCATGGTTGCCGCACGTAAGTACGCATGCCGTTGCAACTTGCAACCGCATTAAAGAAGTGAAGGCTTGATGGAGCAGCACACAATTGAGAGCATGGCAGCACACAATTGAGAGCATGGCAGCACACATTTGAGAGCATGGCAGCACACATTTGAGAGCATGGCAGCACACATTTGAGAGCATGGCAGCACACATTTGAGAGCATGGCAGCACACATTTGAGAGCATGGCAGCACACAATTGAGAGCATGGCAGCACACAATTGAGAGCATGGCAGCACACATTTGAGAGCATGGCAGCACACATTTGAGAGCATGGCAGCACACAATTGAGAGCATGGCAGCACACATTTGAGAGCATGGCAGCACACATTTGAGAGCATGGCAGCACACAATTGAGAGCATGGCAGCACACATTTGAGAGCATGGCAGCACACATTTGAGAGCATGGCAGCACACAATTGAGAGCATGGCAGCACACATTTGAGAGCATGGCAGCACACAATTGAGAGCATGGCAGCACACATTTGAGAGCATGGCAGCACACATTTGAGAGCATGGCAGCACACAATTGAGAGCATGGCAGCACACATTTGAGAGCATGGCAGCACACATTTGAGAGCATGGCAGCACACATTTGAGAGCATGGCAGCACACAATTGAGAGCATGGCAGCACACATTTGAGAGCATGGCAGCACACATTTGAGAGCATGGCAGCACACATTTGAGAGCATGGCAGCACACATTTGAGAGCATGGCAGCACACATTTGAGAGCATGGCAGCACATTGAACGCGTCGTCACTGTGTGGTCAAGGCAGGTGCATTCAAAGGATGTGGCCACAACACAACGGAAGCTGTCATCCAGTTGGGTCCGAGTTGAAGCACCCTGCAGTTGGCTGCTGGACGCGTTTGAACTTCCACCCAATGCATCTCCAAACCCAAACCTTCACACTCTTCATTTCGGTTCGACTATAACTGAACCAGTTCGGTCGAGTAAGCAACTCAGATCGACTGTTTCTCATCGCAAGTCAGCCTGGTGAGTCTGAAATGTCTTGTCTACCTGCACCGTACCTGTACAGCACAAAGGGCTGATGTACCTGTACAGCACAAAGGGCTGATGTACCTGTACAGCACAAAGGGCTGATGTACCTGTACAGCACAAAGGGCTGATGTACCTGTACAGCACAAAGGGCTGATGTACCTGTACAGCACAAAGGGCTGATGTACCTGTACAGCACAAAGGGCTGATGTACCTGTACAGCACAAAGGGCTGATGGTCGATGGCGACTGTGAGGTGCCCCCCGGTGTTGGGCACAGGGGCGTCAAAGGACGCGGTGACGAGCATCTCCTGGTTGTGCCCGGGGTTGGCGGAGAGCGAGTAGGTGATGGCGGCCGTGCACGGCAGCACGGCGTCTGATGCCTGCCAGCTGATGGGCACAGAGGATGGAGAGACAACGGGTGGGCGCGGGGACGAGGGAACAAGGCACACGTGAGGTCATGCGCCCTCTGTGCACCAGTCACACCACCAGTGCAGTCGAGCACACGCGTACACGCGGTTGGTGGCACAGGCATGTGGCAGGCAATGCGACAGGGACACGTGTATGCCCTTTGCTGACCTGCAGTTGGCCACAGCGCGCGTGTGCTGCAGGTCTGTGCGCCCAAACCCCACCGCTGCCAGCTTGCGCGCCCCCATGCGGTACCCACTGCCAGCCATGGCCGCACACAGGGATGGGCGGCACACACACATGCGGGGCGGGCAGAGAAGGTAGGGGGACGAAAGAGGTCAAAGGAAACAGATGAGTGGAGGGGGGGAGTGTTAGTCATAGAACGAGGCCGTGCGGTGATGCACGGTGCAGTGATGCACGGTGGGGTGATGCACGGTGTGGTGATGCACGGTGCGGTGATGCACGGTGTGGTGATGCACGGTGCGGTGATGCACAGTGCGGTGATGCACGGTGGGGTGATGCACGGTGTGGTGATGCACGGTGTGGTGATGCACGGTGTGGTGATGCACGGTGTGGTGATGCACGGTGTGGTGATGCACAGTGAGGTACTACCAGTAGCACACCTGGCCTCAGGTGAGGCGGGTGGGGCGGGTGGGGATTCACCTGAAGCGCGTGAAGGAGGGCGACCCTGCAAAAGCATGCTGCGACCACTTGCTGGCGTCTGATGGGGGGAGAGAACGAGGGCGGACGGGTGCGGTACAGTGGGGAAGGGGGAAAGAGATGACGCAAAGACCTCAGGGATGAAGTGCACACCAGCTTGGGAAGCAAGAGGAGATTGAAAGGGGACGAGGCATTGACTCACAGAACACTGGAGGCAATGAAAGGGCCGGGGCGGGAAGGAAAGGAAGAGTCAAGTAAGCGGGCGAGGGGATGGAGGTTTGGTGGATAGATGAGGGCGAGTGGTGCGCGCAGGAGGCATAGGAGGGCGCGGTGCAGGCGGGTCATGGCAGGGCTCTAGCAGCCTGCGCCGCGCCACACAAGACATGCCGGGAAAGCGACGTGCACATCGCCTCCACAGCGGTGGCCCGATCCGCTCGCATGCGGCGACAAACGCGGCCAGCTAGTGACACGGTATTAGCGCGTGGCGGGCAGTTCCTGGCTTGTCCCGGTGGGCCGCATGGCACGTGGTGGAGCAGCATGGCACGTGGTGGAGGAGCATGGCATGTGGTGGAGCAGCATGGCACGTGGTGGAGCAGCATGGCACGTGGTGGAGTGGAGCAGCATGGCACGTGGTGGAGCAGCATGGCACGTGGTGGAGCAGCATGGCACGTGGTGGAGCAGCATGGCACGTGGTGGAGTGGAGCAGCATGGCACGTGGTGGAGCAGCATGGCACGTGGTGGAGCAGCATGGCACGTGGTGGAGCAGCATGGCACATGGTGGAGCAGCATGGCACGTGGTGGAGCAGCATGGCACGTGGTGGAGCAGCATGGCACGTGGTGGAGCAGCATGGCACGTGGTGGTGCAGCATGGCACATGGTGGAGCAGCATGGCACGTGGTGGAGCAGCATGGCACGTGGTGGAGCAGCATGGCACGTGGTGGTGCAGCAGCACACGACGCCCGTGGCAAGGCTGGACCTCACCTCTCACCGCCACCACGCGTAAGTGCCACAGGGTGTTGCACTTACCCATGAGCAAGCAACAACTAGTGACAGCCCACTCCCACACCTGCCCAGCCTGAGGCTCGCTGCGCTACAGGCACCCAGGCCCTTCATGGGGTGGCCGTGGCCCACCATGGCCTAAATTTGTTGCCGTCAGCAGAGGCGTGGCGGCAGGCACTCTTCCCGGCACCTACAGGGACGTACCCTCGTTCACCACAACACACCCGCCTTAAGTTGGCACCACGTTCTAACTGGTGTGAGGAGCACCAACCAGCACAACCTCACCTGCCAAATCTCCATTATTCGATTGCTGCCCTTCATGCTGCCCCTGCTCTTGCTGCTCCTGCTGCCCCCCCTGCCCCTCCTGCTGCTCCCCCTGCCCCTCCTGCTGCTCCCCCTGCCCCTCCTGCTGCTCCCCCTGCCCCTCCTGCTGCTCCCCCTGCCCCTCCTGCTGCTCCCCCTGCCCCTCCTGCTGCTCCCCCTGCCCCTCCTGCTGCTCCCCCTGCCCCCCCTGTTGCTCGCCCTGCCCCTCCTGCGGTTGCTCCCCGCCCTGCGCCTGCGCGCCCGCCATGCCGCCGATCACCTCCTCAGCCGCCTGCAGCACGTCCGCTCCGCCCTCCGCCTCGGCGGCCACCGCCCTCTCCAGCCGCGCCACGTCGCCATCCGCTGGCCCCGCGCCACCGCGCCCCTCGCCCCCCACGTGGCCCTCAATGTGGGCGAGGCGGGCGTCCAGGGAGACGAGCAGCTTGCCCTGCTGCCGCACGGCGAGCACGAGGTCGTGCAGCGCCTCGTGCGTCTTGTGCGCCAGCTGCAGCATGTCCGCGCCCCGGCTCGCCTCCAGCATGCCCTGCAGCTCCGCCACCGCCTCGCTCTGCCGCTGCACCTCGCGCACCACCACCGCCATGCCCGTCTGCGTCTCCGTCACCGCCGCCACCAGCACCGACGCCTCCGCCCCCCCCACTCCTCCTGCACCACCCGCGCCACCGGCAGAGGCGGCAAGGGCGGTGGCGTCGCCGGTGGCGAGGGCGGCGGCGGGCAGTGCAGAGGGCGGCAGCACGCGCGTCTCGAGGCTGGCGATGCGCGTGCCGAGCTTGGCGACGATGGCGGTCTGGGCGCGCACGGCACGCAGCAGGCTGAGGAACGCCGTCTTGTTGCGCACCTCGCCCACCAGCGCCCCCACCACCCCCTCCATGCGCCTCTGCTCCCCTCTCGCCCCGCACAAGGCCGCACGGTGAGTGGCAAGTGCAAGAAAGTGAGTGGGTTGTTGATGCAATTGAGTGTGGGCACAAGGGGCGTCTCAGTGGGAACGCACGTGTGCGGAAGGTTCACGCAATGAGTCGGCAGACGAGTGTCACCAACTTCAGAAATTGCACCTCCGGTTCTTTGCAGCCATCCCACCGCTGTCAACCACAACAGATTCCACTCCCCTATCCACTCCCCTATCCACTCCCCTATCCACTCCCCTATCCACTCCCCTATCCACTCCCCTATCCACTCCCCTATCGCTCGCAACTTATCCCCCCAAATGTCATGTGAACAACTCCAAATATAATCCGTATCTCGCCACCTGCTCCTCTCTCTGCCTTGCCGCACTCCCCCACCTGCCCTGGCCCACCTGCCCTCCCACACCTGCCCCCACCTCCTCTTCCCCCACCCCCACCACGTCCCTCCCCCCCGTGAAGCGCACCTGCCCCCCGTGAAGCGCACCTGCCCCCCGTGAAGCGCACCTGCCCCCCGTGAAGCGCACCTGCCCCTGCAGCACGGCGTCCGTGAGCCCCGCCTTCTCCTTGGCGCGCAGATGCGCCACCAGCGCCTTGAGCACCGCCAGTATCTTCTCCTCCTGCCCCACGCACCGCCCACACGAGGACACATGGGGGACACCGATGGACATAGGGGGACAGAGCAGCGAGTGGGCAGAGCAGGTGAGAACAGAAACAGGTGCGAGAGCAAAGAGAGGTGCGAGAGGAGGGTGGAGGGTGGAGAGGAAAATGACGAGGCATGTGCGCACAGAGAGCAGGGGTTGGGTGAGCGGCGTGAGTGAGGTAGTCAACACATGCCCTTGCTATGCCTGCCACCTGCCACATGAGCCGCCACATGGTGCGACAGCAGCAGGCAGGAGGGCCTGATGTCAACCATGCCCTGCCTGATGTCAACCATGCCCTGCTTGATGTCAACCATGCCCTGCCTGATGTCAACCATGCCCTGCCTGATGTCAACCATGCCCTGCCTGATGTCAACCATGCCCTGCCTGATGTCAAACATGCCCTGCCGGATGTCAACCATGCCCTGCCGGATGTCAACCATGCCTTGCCTGATGTCAACCATGCCCTGCCGGATGTCAACCATGCCCTGCCTGATATCAACCATGCCCTGCCGGATGTCAACCATGCCCTGCCGGATGTCAACCATGCCCTGCCGGATGTCAACCATGCCCTGCCGGATGTCAACCATGCCCTGCCGGATGTCAACCATGCCCTGCCTGATGTCAACCATGCCCTGCCGGATGTCAACCATGCCCTGCCGGATGTCAACCATGCCCTGCCGGATGTCAACCATGCCCTGCCTGATGTCAACCATGCCCTGCATGATGTCAACCATGCCCTGCCGGATGTCAACCATGCCCTGCCTGATGTCAACCATGCCCTGCCGGATGTCAACCATGCCCTGCCGGATGTCAACCATGCCCTGCCGGATGTCAACCATGCCCTGCCGGATGTCAACCATGCCCTGCCGGATGTCAACCATGCCCTGCCTGATGTCAACCATGCCCTGCCGGATGTCAACCATGCCCTGCCGGATGTCAACCATGCCCTGCCGGATGTCAACCATGCCCTGCCGGATGTCAACCATGCCCTGCCGGATGTCAACCATGCCCTGCCTGATGTCAACCATGCCCTGCCGGATGTCAACCATGCCCTGCCGGATGTCAACCATGCCCTGCCGGATGTCAACCATGCCCTGCCTGATGTCAACCATGCCCTGCCTGATGTCAACCATGCCCTGCATGATGTCAACCATGCCCTGCCGGATGTCAACCATGCCCTGCCTGATGTCAACCATGCCCTGCCGGATGTCAACCATGCCCTGCCGGATGTCAACCATGCCCTGCCCTCTCACCTGCGGCGTGGCCTCCGCCCCCTTGAGCTGTGCCTGCGCGTCCACGCGCTCCGCCAGCCCCTCCACCGCGCTCTGCGCCCCCCCAGCCAGCAGCGGCAGTGCGCCCCACCCCCACACACAGGGCGAGGCACGCGGGGAAGAGAGAGGAGTGATGGGATGGGAGCAGCGGGGGGATAGTCGCACGTGCGGTGGAGGAGCGGAGAGAGGGAAGGCGCAACAGAGAGGCAACAGCAGATCACGGATGTGTGCTCAAACTTGTAGCTACGCAGGGAAGGCGGCAAGGAGGGGCATTCGCAACGGCGCACCTGCAGCGAGCGCGAGAGGTGCATGTGCTTCTTGACTCACCTGCAGCGAGCGCGAGAGGTGCATGTGCTTCTTGACGGCCGACACCACCTCCCTCAGCGTCTCCGTGCCCAACCCCCCCTCCTCGTCCTGCCAGCGCGCCGCAGAGCCGCGCACACAATGGCACGGCATGTTATGGCACGGCATGTTATGGCACGGCAAGCAGGGGCATGGTACGAATGGCATGGGGTGGGTTGAGTTGGGGGTAAGGCGAATGTTATGTGGGGGATATGTGGCACTGGGTGAGAGGGTGTGGGGGGCAGAGCAAGGCCATGGAGTGGGGTCTATGCGGTAACAGGGATATGGGGTCTATGCGGTAACAGGGATATGGGGTCTATGCGGTAACAGGGATATGGGGTCTATGCGGTAACAGGGATATGGGGTCTATGCGGTAACAGGGATATGGGGTCTATGCGGTAACAGGGATATGGGGTCTATGCGGTAACAGGGATATGGGGTCTATGCGGTAACAGGGATATGGGGTCTATGCGGTAACAGGGATATGGGGTCTATGCGGTAACAGGGATATGGGGTCTATGCGGTAACAGGGATATGGGGTCTATGCGGTAACAGGGATATGGGGTCTATGCGGTAACAGGGATATGGGGTCTATGCGGTAACAGGGATATGGGGTCTATGCGGTAACAGGGATATGGGGTCTATGCGGTAACAGGGATATGGGGTCTATGGGTAACAGGGATATGGGGTCTATGCGGGGTATGGGGGCAATGCGGTAACAGGGATATGGGGTCTATGCGGTAACAGCTATGCGGTAACAGATATGGGGTCTATGCGGTAACAGGGATATGGGGTCTATGGGTGGGATATGGGGTCTATGCGGTAACAGGGATATGGGGTCTAAACAGGGAGCTATGCGGGGGACATGCGGTAACATATGGCGCATGCACGGCATGAGAGCAGACATGGAGAGAGCGGCACTCATCTCCTGTCACATGCGTGGCACTCATCTCCGGTCACATGCGTGGCACTCATCTCCTGTCACATGCGTGGCACTCATCTCCTGTCACATGCGTGGCACTCATCTCCTGTCACATGCGTGGCACTCATCTCCTGTCACATGCGTGGCACTCATCTCCTGTCACATGCGTGGCACTCATCTCCTGTCACATGCGTGGCACTCATCTCCAGCACTCACATCTCTGGCGCCCAGCACTCACATGTGTGGCGGCGAGGCGGCCCACTTGCGTGACGAGCTTGCCCACCGCCTGCTCCGTGCGCCTCTGCTCTCCCAGGGGCGCGTGGCATGGCCGCGCAGCACCACACCACACCACACCACACCACACCACACCACGTGCATCACACACACGCACAGGGTGGTAAGTAACACACGGGGTGGTAAGTAACACATGGGGTGGTAAGTAACACACGGGGTGGTAAGTAACACACGGGGTGGTAAGTAACACACGGGGTGGTAAGAAACACACGGGGTGTTAAGTAACACACGGGGTGGTAAGTAACACACAGGGTGGTAAGTAACACCTGTGTGCTCTTGTTTGCAATCTTGTTCCTGCCCCACCCAAGACCCTACAGCACCCTTCCACCACTCCATACCTGCAAGATTTCCCAGCCTCGTGCACATGTGAACTATGTTGCGCCTGACGCCCTGGAAGGGCAGCGTCCAGACGCTGGACGCGTCAAATCGGTTTGACGCTGGACGTTCGGGGAAAATTTTTTCGGGCACCCCGAAAAAACATTCTCCCCGCACGAAATTGACTCGCGATCTCATCGCGACCAGCATTGCGATGAGATTGCCAACTGGGGGCCACGTTTTTGACCTACAAAAACGCAACCCTCATTTATTCACCCCCACACATTTGTACCCATCCACATCTACTTCTCCCAACCAGGTCGACACCCAACTAAACTAGAGAACCAGATCCAGGTCGACATTACCCAGATCTGTTGCTCTCGACATTGCCAATCATTCCACCTAGGCAACAATCACGCTAATAAGCCTACCTAGCTAAAACTAGGTTAAGGCGATTGGCACATCATGTCAACTGCTAGTCCCGCCGGTCATTCTGTTAGTGCCTCCACACCTTCTGCCGGTGGTGTGGAGGGAGAACGCCAGTACGACGAAATGCCTAAACATCCCGTGTACAAGCATTTTTTATTTTACGTTAAGGACCCCACCAAAGGCAGAATGGCGAAATGCCGTTATTGCCCAAAAGAGTTCGTTTCCAGTAGCACGCGTTGCACCGCTCATCTTGCTGACTGGGAGGGGAAGAAGGGTCACGACATTACTGTGTGCCCGGATGCGCCAAAAGAGGTAGTAGAGAGCATTCACACATTGCAGGAGGGGAAATGTAAGAAGCAGTTGGAGAAAAACCGGGCGGAGATGGCGGCCATGGATGCGGTGAGTGGCAAAACCAGCAGCGGGGTGGGTTCTAAGAGAGGGCGCATGTCAGATTTCTATGGGGCGGAGGGGTCAGTGGCTAGGCGGGAGGCGGATGATGCCATATGTCTCTATTTCGCAGAATTGGGTGTTCCCGAAAACCAAGCCGACAACCCTCTTTTCCGCAACATGATAAGGGCAGTTGCAGCAGCGGGTGGTAGCTATGTCCCTCCGAAGAGAAAGTACGTGGGCGGGGCTGGACTGCAGCGGACTCGTAAGAGGACTTGAGGAGGGGTTGGATCCCGTGGTTAAGAAGTGGCCGGAGAAAGGTGTCACCATCGCTAGTGACATGATGAGTGACAGGAATGGGCGTGCGCAGGCGAATTTCCTTTGCGTCAACGAAGATGGAGCTGTGTTTATGGAGAGTGTTGACTGCGGGATGGAACGGAAAACAGGCGGTTACATTGCTAGCCTCATCCGGCCAGTCATAACGAAGGTGGGGCCGGAAAATGTCGTTGCACTATGCATGGATGGAGCGAGCAACTACGCAGCCGCGACCCGTGAGATTGTGAAGGAATGGCCGCACATAGAGATTGTGAAGGAATGGCCGCACATAGAGATTGTGAAGGAATGGCCGCACATAGAGATTGTGAAGGAATGGCCGCACATAGAGATTGTGAAGGAATGGCCGCACATAGAGATTGTGCCGTGCGCAACGCATGTGCTTGACCTCTTTATGGAAGACATAGGGAAGATGGATTGGGCCAAAAAGTTGGTTGAACGAGCGGGGGAGCTGATGACATTCTTGCGCAACCATCATTGGACACGCGCATACCTGAGGGCGGGGGAGCTGCATGGCGAGAAGGTGCTGCAGGCATTGCGACCTGCAGGCACTCGCTTCGGGACACAATACCTTGGCGTGTCTCGACTTTGTGAGTTGCGCCCTCATCTGTCCAGCATGGTCTCCCATCATGTCTTCAAGGACTGGGCTGCAGCTGCAGGTGCTAAGGTGAAGGAGGCAGCAGACAAGTTTGAGAAGTACATGCTGGATTCTGCGTGGTGGAAGACAGCAGAGTTCTTCAAGAAGCTGCTGCAGCTGCCATATGTCAGCATGCGTAAGACAGACTCGACAAAGAAGGGGATGATGGCAAATATGTATGACCTGATGCTACAGTTGACGGAGGAAATGAGTGCATTGCTGGAGGAGGATGAGGAGCAGCTGAGCGACGAGGATAAGGAGAAGATCAGCGATTTTCTGAAGGCTAGATGGGATGATAGCCTTGCATTTGCGCTCCATGTGGCTGGCCGGATTTTTAATCCGGCCAACCAGAAGGAGGGAATCTTTCTTCGGGATAGGGAGTGTACCAAAGTCATGAAGGAGTTCTTAGAGCGTGCGCATGATTTCTTGGTGAAGTACAAGAGGGGTGGAGCTGGTGGCTTCAAAGAGCTTCAGAAGGGGATGCTTGCCTACATTAACGGTGATGGGAGTTTCGGCACAAAGAGCGCGGTGGAGGCTCGGGAGGAGATTCGGGCTGGGAAGGGGGATCTGCTAAGCTGGTGGCAGTGGCATGGATGCGACTACCCCGAGCTAGCTGACATTGCGCGCCGTACCCTTGCGCAGCCCGTGTCGGCCTCCTCGTGCGAGCAGAATTGGGCTAAGTGGGAGGGAGTGCACACGGCTCGCCGGAACCGGCTAGGGTCGGAGAAATGCCGCGACTTGGTGTACGTGGCCCACAACTGGCTGGTGGTGCATAATGCACACAAGCGACCTGAGATGGAGGGGGCTGGGATAATTGAGGGTAACAAGCCAGACCCCCCGGTCCCGGAGGGATACATTCTGCAGGAGGAGGTGGATGAGGAGGAGGAGGAAGAAGACAAGCTGCTGGCTGATGAATATGTGGCAACCCCCCCTCTTCCCTAGGTTATGCATGTGAGGAGGAGTATTTAACTTGTGTGTGAGATTAGGAGATTTTCAGGATTTTCTGGATTTTATAGAGTATTTATGACTGTAGGTGACAAATGTGAACTTCTTGCATTCAAACCCTTGCGTATCCTTACTAGGCAGGTTTTTTTACCCCTGCCCGTAAATTTTTTTTGCCCTGCCCGGACTAGCGTCAAGCGGGCGTCCAGGGCAGAGGGCCCTGGGCGTCAAGCGTCTGGACACCCCGTCCAGACGCCAGCGTCAAAAACGCCTGACGCGTCAGGCGCAACATAGCATGTGAATCATCCCAGCCTCGTGCACATGTGAATCATCCCAGCCTCGTGCACATGTGAATCATCCCAGCCTCGTGCACATGTGAATCATCCCAGCCTCGTGCACGTGTGAATCATCCCAGCCTCGTGCACATGTGAATCATCCCAGCCTCGTGCACATGTGAATCATCCCAGCCTCGTGCACATGTGAATCATCCCAGCCTCGTGCACATGTGAATCATCCCAGCCTCGTGCACATGTGAATCATCCCAGCCTCGTGCACATGTGAATCATCCCAGCCTCGTGCACATGTGAATCATCCCAGCCTCGTGCACATGTGAATCATCCCAGCCTCGTGCACATGTGAATCATCCCAGCCTCGTGCACATGTGAATCATCCCAGCCTCGTGCACATGTGAATCATCCCAGCCTCGTGCACATGTGAATCATCCCAGCCTCGTGCACATGTGAATCATCCCAGCCTCGTGCACATGTGAATCATCCCAGCCTCGTGCACATGTGAATCATCCCAGCCTCGTGCACATGTGAATCATCCCAGCCTCGTGCACATGTGAATCATCCCAGCCTCGTGCACATGTGAATCATCCCAGCCTCGTGCACATGTGAATCATCCCAGCCTCGTGCACATGTGAATCATCCCAGCCTCGTGCACATGTGAATCATCCCAGCCTCGTACACATGTGAATCATCCCAGCCTCCAAAGCAAGGATTTCTGGAGATGCTTTTCTCGGCAATAATGTGTGTAGTGGGTGCTGCTACATGGTAGTGGGTGCTGCTACATGGTAGTGGGTGCTGCTACATGGTAGTGGGTGCTGCTACATGGTAGTGGGTGCTGCTACATGGTAGTGGGTGCTGCTACATGGTAGTGGGTGCTGCTACATGGTAGTGGGTGCTCCTACATGGTAGTAGGTGCTGCTACACGGTAGTGGGTGCTGCTACACGGTAGTGGGTGCTGCTACATGGTAGTGGGTGCTGCTACATGGTAGTGGGTGCTGCTACATGGTAGTGGGTGCTGCTACATGGTAGTGGGTGCTGCTACATGGTAGTGGGTGCTGCTACATGGTAGTGGGTGCTGCTACATGGTAGTGGGTGCTGCTACATGGTAGTGGGTGCTGCTACATGGTAGTGGGTGCTGCTACATGGTAGTGGGTGCTGCTACATGGTAGTGGGTGCTGCTACATGGTACTGAGTGAAGCAAGGATATGCCACGGATGTACACACTTCACACTCCAGTCAAGGCGAACAGTCCATTTTCCCAACGGAGGTAATGGTCTCACCTCCTACCTATCAACAATTCCTCACATTGTAATTGCGTCGAATTATTGCCGGTACAACTCGTTTATAACGTGTGAGCTCATGAACACACACGGATCCATGACACAAATTTTCAAAGATTCTCTCACACATTAAAGATTCACAGATTCACGTCTCGATTCAGACTTGACTCAATCGATTCAGTCACGACAAGTCAAGCTGGCTTGACTCAATCGGATCAGTCACGACGAGTCAAGCTGGCTTGACTCAATCGGATCAGTCACGACGAGTCAAGCTGGCTTGACTCAATCGGATCAGTCACGACGAGTCAAGCTGGCTTGACTCAATCGGATCAGTCACGACGAGTCAAGCTGGCTTGACTCAATCGGATCAGTCACGACGAGTCAAGCTGGCTTGACTCAATCGGATCAGTCACGACGAGTCAAGCTGGCTTGACTCAATCGGATCAGTCACGACGAGTCAAGCTGGCTTGACTCAATCGGATCAGTCACGACGAGTCAAGCTGGCTTGACTCAATCGGATCAGTCACGACGAGTCAAGCTGGCTTGACTCAATCGGATCAGTCACGACGAGTCAAGCTGGCTTGACTCAATCGGATCAGTCACGACGAGTCAAGCTGGCTTGACTCAATCGGATCAGTCACGACGAGTCAAGCTGGCTTGACTCAATCGGATCAGTCACGACGAGTCAAGCTGGCTTGACTCAATCGGATCAGTCACGACGAGTCAAGCTGGCTTGACTCAATCGGATCAGTCACGACGAGTCAAGCTGGCTTGACTCAATCGGATCAGTCACGACGAGTCAAGCTGGCTTGACTCAATCGGATCAGTCACGACGAGTCAAGCTGGCTTGACTCAATCGGATCAGTCACGACGAGTCAAGCTGGCTTGACTCAATCGGATCAGTCACGACGAGTCAAGCTGGCTTGACTCAATCGGATCAGTCACGACGAGTCAAGCTGGCTTGACTCAATCGGATCAGTCACGACGAGACCCTGACGGGAGATTGCACATCACCAAAGTACCAAACGGGACACACAGACAGTGGTTCGGTTTGATGCAAACTGCTTCGCATCGAACCTTACTTTGATTTGATCCTAACGTGAAATTCATTGCAATATCACTTAGTTCGACGCGTTTCTGGTTCGTGTTGAACACAAAACCGAACCGAACAGGTTCGGGTCAAACCTAAAAAAATCGGCTCAAAGTTACAATTCAACCCGAATCGAAGCAGTTCGGTCTGGCCAGTTTGCTGTTTTGACGCTGCTCGAGTTGAGTACTTTCTTCTCATGCCTTGGTGAGGTCACCATGAAATCCCAAGGCAATCCTCAACCTGCCTCACTTGAGCGTGGCATGGCAGCACAGCCACCTGTGCTGTCCATCCACCGGTCCCACCCCCTCACAGCCACCTGTGCTGTCCATCCACCGGTCCCACCCCCTCACAGCCACCTGTGCTGTCCATCCACCGGTCCCACCCCCTCACAGCCACCTGTGCTGTCCATCCACCGGTCCCACCCCCTCACAGCCACCTGTGCTGTCCATCCACCGGTCCCACCCCCTCACAGCCACCTGTGCTGTCCATCCACCGGTCCCACCCCCTCACAGCCACCTGTGCTGTCCATCCACCGGTCCCACCCCCTCACAGCCACCTGTGCTGTCCATCCACCGGTCCCACCCCCTCACAGCCACCTGTGCTGTCCATCCACCGGTCCCACCCCCTCACAGCCACCTGTGCTGTCCATCCACCGGTCCCACCCCCTCACAGCCACCTGTGCTGTCCATCCACCGGTCCCACCCCCTCACAGCCAACTCCATGCGACCCGAGCTTGCCTGGCACCTGGGATGGCCACCACAGCGCACCTGGGATGGCCACCACAGCGCACCTGGGATGGCCACCACAGCGCACCTGGGATGGCACCCACCCACCTGGGATGGCACCCACCCACCTGGGATGGCACCCACCCACCTGGGATGGCACCCACCCACCTGGGATGGCACCCACCCACCTGGGATGGCACCCACCCACCTGGGACCGCAGGCCGGCGGCAACGAGCAGAGTGAGGTTGGAGGAGGTGATGGCGCTGTCAGGCAGAGGGGGGGCGGGGGGCGCCATGACGGCGGACGCCACCTCGCCCATGCGCGCCCTCAGCTCCGCCACCACCTCCGCCAGCTGCGCCTGCTGCGCGTCCACGTGCTGCCCCACGTGCTCCCTCACGAAGTGCGAGTGGTTGCGCAGCTCCGCCGCCAGCTGGCGCAGCTGCACAGTCTGCACGGCGACGTGGTCCGTGACGGCCGCCGCCACGGAGTAGGTGTGGTTCTCCAGCGCCGCCACCAGCGCCTTCACCTCCACCGCCTGGTTCGTTGTCTGCTCCGATATGCTGTCGTGTCGAGGGGGGCGGGGGGGGCACGGCATGGGTATCGGGAGGGAAAAGGGGGAAGAGGGGGCATGGGAGGATGCGCAAAGTGGGAGAGGAAGAGCAAGGCAGCGGGCAGCACGTCGTGTGACAGAGGGCAGCACGCCGTGTTGAGCGGCTGTGGCCTGGCTGGCATGGCAGGCGCATGCTGCGATGCGCCACCGCTGGGAGGGCAGCGCGCGGGGAGAGTGGGTGGCCAACGGAAGGCGCGAATGAGACCGTGCAAGTAGACATGAGCAACGAGCGAACCGAATACGTTTGTCTCGAACAGTTTGCGAACACTTGGTCGATTCGAACCGAACCGAACACGTTTGTCTCGAACAGTTTGCAAACACTTGGTCAATTCGAACCGAACCGAACACGTTTGTCTCGAACAGTTTGCGAACACTTGGTCAATTCGAACCGAACCGAACACGTTTGTCTCGAACAGTTTTCTTAAATGCTAGTGTTCCCCGTTCGAGTATAGGGTCGAACAGTTTTGAGGCAAGGCTGCACACTAAGGTGTTTGACCCGAACTCGAACAGTTTGCCTTGGGGGGTTCTTTCAGTATAGTCACATTCAGGCAGGGCGAGTGTACTAGAAGCAATTTCACGTTTCCTATAGCCCTACAAAAGATATAGTTAGGCTTGGTGCAGATCTGGTGGACATTCAATTTCGCCTTGCTAAACTCCAACCTAAACCGTAATGCCCTTAGTTCCTTTTTTTAACCGTCTCCTACCCCAGTCAAACCTTATACCTAACGTTTCCTGCCACAAAGTGGAATTTTAACCGTGGGAATGTGTTACTTTAAGTGGGTAGGGGGCAGAATGCCATCCTTAGGCTTGAGCTCATTCTCTTAAGCTCAATCGTCACCCCCACATTTTAGATCCAACCAGCGCGTCAAAATTTGACGCGCAGAAAAATGCACGAACACCTAGGTGTTTGCGACGAACACATTGTGTTCGCGAACACCTAGGTGTTCGTGCATTTTTCTGCACACAAACACTCGAACAGTCGAACGTGTTCGTGATGAACCCAATATTGGGCAAAAATTCCATTCGAGCACGTTGGAGTCGAACTGAACAGGAGTTGGAATGTTTGCTCATGTGTATGTGCAAGCGTGAGAATGTAGAAGTCTAGGAGTGTGGTGTGGAAGTGTGAGAGTGAGAGATTGTGAGAGTGAGTGTGAGAGGGAGAGAGTGAGTGTGATGGGGGAGAGAGTGAGTGTGAGAGGGAGAGTGAGTGTGAGAGGGAGAGTGAGTGTGAGAGGGAGAGAGTGAGTGTGAGAGGGAGGGAGTGTGAGTGAGAGGCGGGCGGTACCTCTCAGTGAGGGCGAGGGCGATCTGGTCCATGCTGGCGAGGTGCCGCGACACCAGCATGTACTGCCCACCACGGGCACGGGGGGCGGGAGGGTACGGAAAGGGGGGTCCAGTGGGTCATGGGGGGAGGGAAGGGCGAAGGGAGCGCGGAAGCGGTGGGAAGAGGAAGGCGAGGGTGGGCGTGGAGGGAGGGGTGACACGGCCCTGGCAGCAGTGGCCCTGGCAGCACTGGCGACGGCAGCAGTGGCGATGGCAGCAGTGGCGATGGCAGCAGTGGCGACGGCAGCACTGGCGATGGCAGCAGTGGCGATGGCAGCACTGGCGATGGCAGCAGTGGCGATGGCAGCACTGGCGATGGCAGCAGTGGCGATGGCAGCACTGGCGACGGCAGCACTGGCGACGGCAGCACTGGCGACGGCAGCAGGACTCGAACGTGCATGATTGCGAACGAGCCCGCACGCACGCCCAGGGGGGCACAATGACGCCCAGTGCGGGAACAACACTCACATGCGACAGCATTCGTGTCGCGCCATTCTGTTGCCTTCAAGCCATGCCCCACCATAAACATCTGCGCGCATCACGATCGTTCACTCACGCAAGCTCCTTCTTTCTAACCGCCATCATATCGTTTCGTCTCACCATGACCGCATCGTCTCACCATGAGCGCATCGCCTCACCATGAACGCATCGCCTCACCATGAGCGCAAGGCACGCCGTCATGATGACGCTGACCGTCACCACCAGCGAGTGCTGCAGCGGCTGCTGCGCGCGCAGCACTCGCGTCGGCCCGCCGCCGCGATCCATGGCGCCTCGCCGCCTCGCGTGGCGCCTGGGAGTATCGAAGCGGGTGACAGCTGCGGGCGCTCCACGCTGCGCGGCCCGGCAGCTCGGCGCGCCTTATCCGGCTGGCAGCTCGGCGCGCCTTATCTGGCTGGCGGTCGCTCGTCCAGCGGCCCACGCGAGGCTCGCCTTCCCGACGATGACGGACTCCGACGGAATGCTGCGGCGCGCGATGGCTATGTTTGCACTCGCGCTGATCGGATCTACCTCCAGCGAGTCACACGCAACGCGGAACGGCACCGAGCCTTGCGCATTGTGGAGGAATATACCTCGCTTGAAACAAAACTTTTCATAATAGATAAAGAGGCTCAATTGTCATTTTCTGGGACTGCTCGTGGCTTGGCTCACCTAGCTGCCATCCTCGTCGCCGTGTGTGATGCTGCTTGACATACTCAAATCAATCCCCCACTACCGTAGTCAGACAGAGAAAATCACGCCATCTAACCCATCAGGTAGGTTCAAAACCTAGGGATGACCCTGACACCTGAATATCTCATGGTCCTAGATAGAAAGAGGAAAAGAAGGGAAAGTGTTACGAGTGCAATTGAGTGAGCGAGCGAGAATTGCACTATCTAAGCAAGAGTACAATGAGCGAAGTCATGAGCGAAGAATATTTAGTGAAACTATAGTGGTAACGGTAATGGACTGTGGTTGTCGCGCGACGGGCGTGGGACTGAGGATTGGGAAAATGTCGAAGCGGAGGCCCGGAGCGCGGGTTACCCGCCGAGCCGTGAGGTCGGGGTGCGACGTGCGAAAGTGGCGGGAGGATTGTCGATGCGAGGGTTTGCGAGTGGTAACGGTGCTGACTGTGGTGCTACAATGGTGTACGCGCTGAGTGTGGACGCGAAGTAAGGAAAAGGAATTTTCCTTACACTACCCCCCCCCCCCCCCCCCCTAAGGAGGTCCTCCTTACGAAAGTGCGTGTACATCCTTGAAGTTTCGACTGCGCAGATACTCTGTGAGGACGGGGTGGTTTTCGACTCTGTCCATGGGAACCCAGTTGTCTTCGGTGGGTGTACGGTCTTTCCAGCGGATCAGGAACTCGATCCTTCGGGCTCCTCGAGGGTCACGAACTCTGTGGCTCAGAATTTTCTCGGGTGTGATGATTGGTTCAGTCGGCGGTCGTGCCATGCTGGCTGGGCGATTTCGTGGCAGTTGGCTTGTGGACGGGACGTAAGGGCGAAGCAGGCTGATGTGGAATGAGGGGCTGACGTACCAGTCAGCGGGGAGGAGGAGGTGGGCGGTGACGGGCGTAATCATGTGGCTTATGCGAAATGGCCCACAATATCGGGGGCGGAGTTTTGGGGTGATGGGCAGTCAGAGGTTCTGAGTGTCGAGTAAAAATAGGTCGTTAGGTCGGTAAGTGACAGGTCGGCGTTACGTTTAGCGATGATGTTTGATTTTTTTATTGCGTCTGCTGCCCGGGTCCGTGCTGCTTGTAGAATTTCAGCGAAGTGTTGTGCTCGTGGCACCGGGTTGTCGGGATTCGGGGTCATGGGTACTGTCGGGTCTTGTCCGTAGTTCAGATAAAATGGTGTCTGTTGGGTCGTGGCGGATGGTGAGTTGTTGTATGCGAACTCAATGAGTGGCAGCTGTTGTTCCCAGGTGGTTGGGTCGTCGCACGTGGCTCGGATGAGTTGCTCCATAGTCTGGTTTGTCCGTTCTATCTGTCCGTCGGTTTCGGGGTGGTACGAAGAACTGAACTGTAGTCGCGTGCCAAACTGCTGCCACAGGTTCCGCCAGAAGTTGCTGGTGAATCTCGTGTCGCGGTCGCTAATTATCGCTGCTGGTATCCTGTGCAGTCGAACGACGGTGGAGATGAAGAGGCGGGCTGTGTCTTCGGCTGTGATTGATATTTTTGCAGGCGGCGAAGTGTGCCATTTTCGTCAGTCGATCGACGACAACCAGGATCGCGTCGTTCCCACTCGCCCCGGCCGGTAACCCCGTGACGAAGTCCATTGTCACCTGTGTCAGATTTATATGACATAGTGTCAGAACATTATAGCTTACTTATTTGTGTAGGCTATAGTGGGGTATCCCATAGGGGGTACAACCCAGCTAGGGTTTCCTATTTGTACTCACTTCGTTCATAGTTCACATATTCTCTCGTTCTCTTCTTCACATGGAATCAGAGCAGGTTCCCCTGTGGGAACTGTGCTTCGGGCCCACCACCTAGAACTTTTTTCTGCCCTGGCGCCCGCCCTAGTGCCCGCCCTAGCGCCCGCCCTAGCGCCCGCCCTTTCGAGCCGCCCGTTCGCGCCGCCCGTTAGCGCCGCCCGTTAGCGCCGCCCGTGCGGCTGCCCCTTCGCGCCGCCCTTTGCGCAGCCCGTAGCGCCGCCCGTGCGGCCGCCCGTTCGCGCCGCCCGTGCGGCCGCCCGTAGCGCCCCCCGTGAGCCGCCGCCCGTAGCGCCGCCCGTGAGCCGCCGCCCGTCGCCACCCTTTAGCGCCGCCCGTGAGCGCCGCCCGTGACGCAGCCGCCCGTGAACCGCCGCCCGTGACGCCGCCGCCCGTCCCGTCGCCCCCCCCCCCCCCCCGTGACGTCGCCGCCCGTCCCGCCGCCCGCCCGTCACGCCGCCCGCCCGTGAGCCGGCGCTGCCCGCGAACCGCCCACCCGTGGGCCTTCAGCCCGCCCGTGAGCTGCCGACGCCGCCCGTGAGCAGCCGCGCCGCCGCCGCCACCCGTGAGCCGCCGACGCCGCTGCCGTCGCCCGTGAGCCGCCGACGCCGCCGCCGCCGCCCTTGAGCCGCCGACGCCGCCGCCGCCGCCCGTGAGCCGCCGTCGCCCGTGAGCCGCCGACGCCGCCGCCGCCGCCCGTGAGCCGCCGACGCCGCCGCCGCCCTTGAGCCGCCGACGCCGCCGCCGCCGCCCGTGAGCCGCCGTCGCCCGTGAGCCGCCGACGCCGCCGCCGCCGCCCTTGAGCCGCCGACGCCGCCGCCGCCGCCCGTGAGCCGCCGTCGCCCGTGAGCCGCCGACGCCGCCGCCGCCGCCCGTGAGCCGCCCTGGCCGCCCGCCCAGCCGCCCGTGAGCTCCCCGCGCGCCGTCCCAGCCGCCCGTGAGCCGCCACCGAGCTGCCCCAGCCGCCCGTGCCGCCGCCCGAGCCGCCTGAGCCGCCCGAGCCGCCCGGGCCGCCCGCGCCGCCCTAGCCACCCGAGCCGCCCGAGCCGCCCTAGCCGCCCGAGCCGCCCGCGCCGCCCGAGCCGCCCGAGCCGCCCGAGCCGCCCGAGCTGCCCGAGCCGCCAGAGGAGCTGCTCTCCTGCTCCTGTCGGGCTACTGCTGCTCCTGGGCTGTGCACCTGCGCCGCTGACCTACCCGACTCTTCCTGCCCGGTGAGACTGTCAGCTGCTGTCATGGCCACCCCCAATGTCCTAGCTTTTGACGCTGAGGGTAGAGCCATTGACTTTGCAGTCTGGATTGAGGACCTGCAGCTGTACTTACTGTGTGATGCGGTCGATGAGGTCTCTCTCTTTGACTTTGTCTCTGGCGCTGTCCCTGCCCCTCCTCCTGATGCTGATTCCGCCGTTCGCTCCAAGTGGGCGACCCGCGATGCTGCTGCACGTCTTGCTGTGCGTCGCCACCTCCCTTCCTCCGAGCGTGCCCACTTTAGTCAGTGCAAGACCGCTCAGGCCTTGTACGACGCTGTAGTTGCACGCTACTCCTCCCCTTCCTCCGCTACGCTGAGCCGCCTCATGCTACCTTTTCTCTTCCCTGACCTCGCTGCCTTTCCCACTGTCGCTGACCTCGTTACCCACCTCCGCGCTAGTGACGCTCGCTACCGCGCTGCCCTTCCTGCTGAGTTCCGCGCCGCAAACCCTCCTCCCATGTACATCACTCTCTACTTTCTCGTCACCCGTCTCCCTGAGTCCCTTCGTGTCGTTAGGGACCAGTTTCTCTCTGTGTGTCCCACCACCCTCACTGTCGACCTCCTTGAGGAGTCCCTGCTAGCGGCTGAGAAGAGCATAGTCGCTGTAGGGGCCTCTCGGGGTGACCCTCGCACCCCCATCTTTGAGGGGTGTTCTCCTTCCCCCCTGCTGCCCTCTGTCGCCTCTGCCGCTGCGGCCGACCTCGCTGGTTTTGAGTCGGTCGGTGCGGCGTCTGCCCCCAGCGGTAGACGCCGCTCTGGCAAGGGCAAGGGGGGCAAGGGAGCGGGTGGAGCTAGAGGGGGCAGTGGCGGAGGAGGTGGGGGTGGCGGGGGGAGTGGGGGTGGCGGTGGAGGTGGTGGCGGGAGTGGAGGTACTGGTGGAGGCGGTGGAGGCGGAGGTGGCGGCGGGGGCGGTAGCGGAGGAGGCGGGGGCGAGGGTACCAGTGGGGGCGGTGGCGGTGGAGACGGGGGCGGTGGTGGAGGCGGGAGTGGCGGTGGCGCCGGGGGTCGGAGTGTCTCGTCCCAGCGCAGCAGCTCTGGGGGTGGTCAGCGCCAGCAGCAGCAGCAGCAGCAGCAGCAGCAGCAGCAGCAGCAACGCTCTCGCACCGTCCCCGCCCCTCAGCAGCTCCGTGAGTGGTACTTGCAGCGTCAGCGTGGTGGTGCGTTTGGTCCCTGCCCCTACGTTCTTCGCACCGGCGACCGTGCGGGGGAGAGGTGTGGAGGCACCCACACGGCCCGCCGCTGCTTTGGCCGCCTGACCGACGCCTGGCGTCAGCAGTTTCCGGAGGCCGCTGAGATCCCCCGCTGGGGGGAGCTGTCTAGGGCTGGTGTAGCCATTTATGATCTTGACTTTGATGCTATTCTTTCTGCTATGTATGTTGTGACTGGTAGTGATGAGGATGACTGTTACCGGTGTTTCCCGCCCGACCCGGGCATTGGTACTGCTGCGTCAGGTACTAGTGAGGCTGCTGCTCTAGGTGCCAGTGCGTCTGAGCTCTCAGGTACTGGTGAGTCTGCCCTCTCAGGTACTGTGTCGGCTTCGGCCTCTCACACCTTCACACTTGACTCTGGAGCGTCTCGCTCCTTTCGGGACCGCACCACTCTC